CTGCAACAAAATTTTTCAACTTTGCCAATTCGACCTCTTATGACGCAGGAAATCGAAAAGCTTTTCTTTTTGAAATTTAATGAAATTTTTATCATTTCTCACATTCATATAGCTCTTCTTTCAACTATTTGCTTGTCTGTAATTTTAGAAAAATTTCCAAGTTTTATTTTCAACGTTTCAATTATAGAAATGGTAAAATGAGAAAAAATATCCCCTTTATAACCAGTTACACTCATTTATTCTGAGTCCTGAAGTCTTGCTTATAACTGCGAGAGTTTTGGAACTCACTGTTGAATTGGGTAAAGCTACCTTTCCTAAATAAATAGATTTTATATCTTTTCTATTCTCCCTTACATACTTAGAAAGTAGTTCTCTTTTCTTCTTCTTCTTCTTCTTCTTCTTCTTCTTCTACTCGTTCAAACGAAATTCACATTTTTCTGAAGTACAATTTCTTTATTCGCTTTATGCCAAGCTTTCCTCGAATCACACAGAGCTCGTGTGAATTGTGCAAAATTCTGCCAAGTACGTGCATTTTAAGGCTACAATTATGTAGAGAACTGTGAGAGAACAAGGTTGTTGGAAAAGTCTCTGTGAATTTTGCTTTGTCTCGGATTTTGAGCGCACAAAAATTTTCTGTAGAATGTTTTTGGAAAAATTCTGTACAAAAATTCAAGTATTCGTGAAAAATTGTTCAATACTATAATGTCAATTTCGCATAATAACTGAAGTACTTCAAGGTTAAATCAAGATTCAGAAATTGTAAATGGATTTTTCAAAGGATAGTGTAAAACTGTACACACGCACCAGTAATTTTTTTCGAGATTATTAGTTTTGCATCGATTAAGAGCAAGATCAGATAGTATGAGATGTGCAAATGAATTTCTGTCTAACACATTTTTTTGGAATTGCTAGACAACAAATGTATTCATATTTATTACAAGAAGAACGTCTTCATTATTTAACTCTTTGATTAGAAATATGTCCAGAGATAAATAAAATATTTCTGAGTATCTACACTTCAGTTTGATTTTAGCTTCGTCCAATTGTCAAAAAAAAATCAAAGTACTTTTTTTGGCGGAAACTCTCCATATTTAGCGCTAAAATTACATAACAACTTGACAAAATACTGACGATTTTGCTCAAACGAGTAAAACTCTTTAAAATATCGTTTTTTTTTGACAATTTTGGGGGTTCTTCCTCACTCACTTAGTTAGTGACTTGTATCTTCTCCCATCTCTTCTGATGCTCATGCCTTTTGCATTTTCTTTAGGTCAGATAACATTTTCTCATTCATCCAAACTTCTAAGCAAACCACGTTATCTAGCTTACTCGCACACGTGTTTTCTAGAGCGTAGTCTGAAAATTTGAATTCTTTGCATGTCAAGCATAAACGCAAATAAATTTCGCTTCAAAGAACATCAGCTGGGATTGAGCAGAACCACATAAATTTTTGCTTGATTCGTATCGAGGAGAAACTTTAAAATTTTTCAAAACTGTGAACATCAAAAACTTTGCATAAATTTGTCTTATATAAAAACATAGCAACATCAGAAAAATTCTCGCTGGTTTTGCAATTTTCTTAGGTTTTTCAGCGACTCTTTTTGCGTCGAGCAAGTTTTACAAGGTTTGAGCTATAAACACCTAAACGCTTGCTTTCAATGACGAAAGGCCGAGTTCTGGTCCAGGAAAGTTGTAGTTGTGAATTCTCGCTATAAATGTCTCAAAAGTTTTCTCTTTAATAACTTCTGAGTTGTACACATCTTGTCGGCGAGCATTATCACCAGTTTCACACTTGCTTCTGGTGAAATAAAGTTACAATATAGGACCTTCGTCTAGAAGCTTCTGTTGCCATAACACGAAAAAAAAATTTTGCCTTCTCACCCCCTCCCCCTTCCTCCTTCTATATGTAATGATCGCGTGCAACATTCTGCTTGATAATTGCAATGCAATTCCGCTCAAAAAAGTCTTTACATTTGCATAACAATATCCATTACATTTCCTTCTGACCATTTTCGGGAGCAATTGATTCAGAAGACTTCGTTTTTGAGATCTTTTCAGCATCATAATGCAAATTTGAACAGATTAATTGATTCTGAGAACTCCAATAAATTATTCAAGGTAGTGCTATCAAGACTGGGTTTGCTTTTATCAACTTGATCTAGAGCCTTGAGGTGGAGGATTGCAAAAAATTTTCTCCGAAATGGGCCATGCATGGGTTTTTTCATGAATAATTTATTACCATTGGGCTCGATGAATAAGCATCACTCTAAGATTTTTCAATCACTTCGAGGCTGAGATTTAGCATAGGGGTTACGACAACTCATAAGCTTTTATCCTATTTTTACTTTTTCTATACTTTTTTCTGAATAAGAAATCCTAATTCAACGGTCACTTTTTGAATTTTCTTTGTTAAGTTTTCCGTTTTTCATGCTTCACGCTTATTGTCGATGTTTTTGCCCAAAATTCTTTTCAACGTTAACTCCAATTGCCATTCGAACGCCTCATCTACTTGCCTAATCTCCCGCGAAAATTGCGGAAGGCTGAGTGGTGAGAAATTGCAGTCCGTAATGGTAGAGGCAGCTGTCAGACCGTGGCAGTCTTCTTTTTGAATAGTCCATTCCATTAGGGGCAAAGCACTGCTTCCAAAAGCCTAATTATCACATCAGCTAATGCACAAATTGCATATCGTTTACCATGAAATGGATACGATTGGGGTGTGACAAAAACACCAATACATTAAGGAATTCGCAAAACACTTTTCTAGTTGCGAATGCAGACAGAACATTGAGCTTTACAGTAGTGGGAATCCATGCCCGATGGTCTCGGTCACAAGCAAATATTTTGTGAAAGATTTCTTGCTTATTGATTTAATCTCATTCGGAAACATAGTACAACAAAAAACACGTGGAAATTTGCTCCGATTTGCTTGAGAACACTTTTCCAACATCCTGTATGACACCATACTAATTAACAATAATCATATTCGTGCTTGGATGTTAAAGCAGATCATTTACTGGATAAGATACTGTGATCGACCGTCTCAAAAAATAAAAAAAATAAAAATTGTGCCTTTTATGAAAAATCTCAACTAGAATATTTTCATTTCGTTTATCCGTCTGATTTTTCACATCTTTAAATTGATTACTGTGCTTGTTCTTTTTGTTCATAAATTTCTTTGTTTTTTGGATGACTATAATAATGATGAAATTCTTCATCGCAGTATTATGTGCCTCTAAAATTTCTTTAACACTACATGTACATCATTTGAACCGAGATCACTCAAAGGCAAAAACGGATTTTCATCAAAATGGCTAAGCTTTGGCTCAGCTGTTTCTGCAATGAATAATGTTTGCATAGGGACTGTGAAAAAGTGCCCAGTGTCATTCAGTACCAAAATATATATTCCGACGTCATGGGCAAGACGGATGTATGTTCCCATTCATGGGTCGTACATGTCCGTTTGATGAGGCAATATGTAGAGTTCGAGCTATAACATATTCTATGTAGTTTGAGTAACTATGTTTCGGTAAAATTCGTCAGACTAAAGATTATGATTACAATTTTCAATGGTTTAACGCAAAGTTCGGCATGAGGTGGCTAATTGAATATGCAAAAAACGAAGTCCCTCTTGACTTTTGCGGATTTTTACGAAGTCCCCTTTGACCTTAGACCATAATCCCTAAAAGATCTCCAAAAAGCGAAACATCGACTAAAAAACGTCGCAAATTTTGTGCCTTTTCGCCCACAAATCAAAACCTCCTATGATTTTTGTCCCAAAAACGCCAGCTTGCTTATGCCACCTGTGCCGAGCCCTGATTTAACTCACATCAAAACCTTTAAGTGACAATTTTTACATTAAAAACCATATTTATGGTTTATATTAGGTTGTATCATAATTAATGCACGTTTTTATTTGCTTGCTTTCACAAAGCAACCAGACTCAACCCAAGAAAGGGTAAGGGGTACTGTTCGATAGAGCAAAGCAAGCTCTACAAGATGGCGTTCATGTCTTTGCGCCATGCTCTATCCACGGAGAGTTCGAACTCAAAATCTAAAGATTTCCAAATGCCCAAAAAATCGAAAAAAAATCAGATCTTCGTCCAAATAATTTTTACGGACCTCCCACTCGCTCACACCAATACTATCGATATCTAATATCCATATGTGCGATTGCCGTATTTTTTCCTTGACTAGAAACTGAGAAGACGAAAATTTTCGTGTTTTTCTAAAAGCAATGCTGAGCCGTTTTTGCTTATGTAGTTCTAGACTACAAGCCTAGGTAAGCATAACTGTAGGTTTTCAGCCTATTTCGAGCGGTACTTTTCGAGAAATGTCGATTTTAGCACTGAAACTGAAACGAAAAAATCCGAATTTGTTATTTTTCGAAAACTACCGCTTGGAATGGGCTGAAAACCTACAGTTATACTTATCTAGGCTTGTAGTATAGAACTACATACGCAAAAACGGCTCAGCATTGCTTTGAGAAAATCAGGGAAATTCTCGTTTTCTCAGTTTCTAGTCAAGGAAAAAATACGGCAATCGCACATATGGATATCAGATATCGATAGTATTGATGTGAGCGAGTGGGAGGTCCGTAGAGATTATTTGGACAAAGATCTGATTTTTTTCGATTTTTTGGGCATTTGAAAATTTTTAGATTCTGAGTTCGAACTCTCCGAGGATCGAGCATGGCGCAAAGATATGAGTGCCATCTTGTAGAGCTTGCTTTGCTCTATCGAACAGTACCCCTTACCCTTTGTTGGGTTGAGTCTGGTTGCTTTGCTAAAGCAAGCAAATAAAAACGTGCATTAATTATGAGACAACCTAATAGTATTATAGAGCTCCGTTTTATTCTTTAAACTTCAAATTTTTGCCCAGTACTTCAATCTTCAAGAGCGAACCAATCAGCGGTTTAGGCTACGGTATTGGGTGAAAGTTTTGAACTGGATTTCTTGTGCTTGAAAAATTTACAGCAAGCGTTTTGATTAATTGGTCGGTTGATGCCTATCAAGTCAGTAATACCAATGCCGGGATTAAAGGGGCTGTATGAGGTGGGAGAAGGGGGGGGGGAGGGGATGCGCGGGGCCCCGATCGAGGATGGGCTGTGAAATTAGTGGTCTACATGAATAAAATCGAGCAAGTGACCTGGTTTTAACTGGACAAGTAAATGAAAAAGTTCGTACTTCAAAAACTCGATTAAGCTTTGTGAAAATTTTTACGGGTATTGTTCTCATCACGTAATTTTTTTTCAGGAATTTCCTTTATCTAGCACCTTCATCCTGAAAAAAAAAACAGGGGAGCGCGTCGCTAAAAACATGAAAACTGCCCACCATAACTGCCTTAAAGCTTCCACTTTTATGTTTACACAATTTCTTTTTCTGTTGTTTGCATAGCAAAAATTGGACAAGGGACCCGCAGTTCGTGCGAAAGGCACCCGGAAAAAACACTAATTTATTTCCGTTTCAGACCGTCTGGGCAGCATGTCGAGCCGTCATTTTCGGATGTATCGTTATTGCTGTTGGTTTAGCGATGACTGTTCTAGGATACTTCGACAAACAGTTCTCTGAGGTTTGTGGGAATTTTGGACTTTGAAATAAAATTACTTTTATCTATTTTATGTCATTTCTTTCTTTCTTTTTTTTGTTAGAACGTCGATGCGAGCTTTTTTTGATTAGCTGCAGTATATCTGCCGCAAATTACAACTATTTATATTTTCAAACACCGATGATACAATTTTTATCCAAAAAATTCATTTCCTGCCGCAATCACATTTTTGATTTTCTAAAGTCATTTTCAGTCAATGAAATTCTGGATATTTTCAAATTCGGTGCCAATCGCTTGTTCATTGTTTTTTTGCGAAGATAAAGATTACTGTGGAGGATACCCCATTCAAATTCGAAATTTTAAATAGCTTGCACATTTTTCGACTATTTTTGACACTTATGGTGCATTTTTTGAACAAACAGGCAATCAATTTTTTGCTGTATATAAGTATGCCACTAAACTTCAGTAAAAGTTCAAAAAACACCCAATTCACCTCAAAATATTCTCCCCAGCAATTCGATTTTTACATATTCTTCGACTACTTACATTCCATTAGGCATCCTACCAATTCAATGCAATTGCAACTTCAGCGCGCCTAATGCGTTTTTGTCGAAGCTTTTCTCATATCTGCATTCGTCGAAGGAGTTGCTTGGTCCCACGTTGAGTGGGGAAGTGGGCATCGGTTCGTAGCTCAGTCTTTCTTGCAGGACGAGGGGGCAGAAATGTAATGAATTTCAACTATACGTGGCTCAACGACAAGGAATGAGAAGCTTATTTTGTCTACTTCACTCGTTAATCAAAAGCTCCGATTTTTTAGCACCTATTGGAAGCTTCAAAAAAAAATGCTTACTTTGGAGCTCCTCCAATGAATTCTATGTCAGAAAAAGTGAGAATAGAATTGATTTTTGCAGCAAGTGAATTTTAGTAATTTTTTCGACAAACTATAAAGAAACTCTAACAAAGGAAGCTAGTCGAATGTCCGTCAAACCAAAGCCCTGAAGAAGGCTCCGTAAGTTAAAGACACGTTAAGCTGAGCATACATTATCGTGATCAGAAAAGCCGCAATTTTTATTACGTCAACAAATAATTACGCCCTAGAAATACAACTCGCTGTTCTTCAACTGTAATACAAAACCATTCCCTGCAAATAGTCACGATCTTCTATTTTCCGGTAAAATCAATAAATGCAAAAAAATTTTTCGAGTAGGCCAAGTTTTTGAGATATCTCGTTTTTTTATTCTTTTTATCACGGTCAGTCGTGGTAACCTCTACTATTATATGTCTTGTATCAACTTATGAGATGATATTTTTGTTAATTTTCAGAGAGTTGAAGTTATTGATGGGACTGTCAATGTCTATCATGACCGGGTAGTTCAGTATCAGCTGAAAAGCATGCAGGTAACCAATTCCTAATGATTCCAGATATTTCATGTTATTTTAAGTTTTTTAGTATTTGGGACCAATTCTTATGGGAATCGGCTCGTTCATCCTCATCATTGCATGTGTTGTCACACTTGAAAGCCGAGATAAACATGCTCAAGTAGGTTGAGATCTTTGGATTTCCTAAAAAAAAACTAATGAATTATTTTTGAGGTAATTACGGAAGAATCGATGTCATTTAAACGCCGACGACTTATGTCCATTGAAGAGCGAGCAGAACTGTCCGCAAATGAAATTTTCCCTGGGCAAGAAACTCCAATTACTCCACCTGAGTTCACTGAGATACAAACAACAAATCTGTATGAACTACAGTTTTTTAAAGGCAGCGTCCAGGCAAATCTGGGCCTATAGGGATCTCACTTGGAGGGTAATCTTGGAGCCCTAATTAAAACACTGCCCAAGCGGCAGATCAAATGGTGAGCCCACAGTTGAGATATTCGCCTCCAAACTGGACCCCGGGATCGTACTTGCATGGATTCATGGCACGACACATCACTTTTGCGCGAGGATCCACGCGCGTCGGCCATGAATCCATGCGAATACGATCCCGGGGTCCAGTTTGGAGGCGAATATCTTAACTGTGAGCTTAACATTTGGGCTGCCGCTTGGGCAGTGTCTTAGCTAGGCCCCCAAAATTACTTTTCACATCAGAATCCCGTAACCCGTATGTCCAAATCTGCCTGGACGCTGCCTTTGAGATTTCGCATTTTATATGTAAATTATTCCTTCAGCATAAATACTCTGGCCGAAGTTCATCGCCCTCGAAGCAATTGCGCTCCGTTAGCAGAAATAGATTCTTTGGTAAGTGAAAATTGATTCGTCTGATTACATTTTCATCGGATTTTCAAATTCTGAATTTTGTATTTATGCTATTTTCGTTTTCTTATAATTTTCTATAATCCAACTTTGGTTTTTTTTGTTCAGTTCGATTTGCTATTGCGCACTTCGAACATCGATACTATGAAAATCTAAATTTTGACTCTATAAACTGTCAGAATGCTCAGGAGTTTTTATCCACAAATGTCCCACTTTCTAAATGGATCTTTTGTCTAAAAATTATATCTCTCTTCCGCCTTGCACCTCTAAACCTCTTCGTCGATTTTTTTTCTCTCCTTTTGTTTTTTTCAAATTTTATTATTTCAAGTGAATTTTTCCAAAGTTCTATGCAACACTAACTCCACAAAAATTTGCGTAATATTTGTCGTGGTTACATAATCCAAAAGGTTTTTTTTAATCACTTTTACGTGAATCTCTTCCTAAACCATCATATTTTAGACTATGTAATTATTCGATTTATGCTAAAATTGAAGAAGTATGGGACGAATATGTTCCAAAAATGAGATAAATATGTCTAAAAATTTAAAGAGTTCTTGCATCAACATCACAAAAGGTTACCTTTCGCTAAGCTGAAAAATCAGAGCTTTTTCAGCAGGCCTTAAAAAATATTATAAAGGACCAATACTTCTCACTCTTGACAAATTCTTTCGTTCTTAAAGTAATAGCTGAATAAAATGTGGTAGATACCGTACCCACTTACATGTGAACCATTTTGTTTCAGAGAACTTTTTCTTTGAGATATCGTATTTGCAGGATTTGCACTCATGTTCAAGTCAAGTGACAACGGACCGAGACGTATCAGCTCTAAACTCCGAAGCTACATGAATCCATGTTTTTTTTCTCCTCTTAAAATGTACTTGTGCTGTTTCTCATCATTTTTACGGGTTTTGAAATTTTGTGTTTTTCATTTATGTATAAAAGTGTCACAAATACAATGTGTACAAGTTCTTTAACTACAAATTTGAGTTCTTCAGTGAGAGTGGACGTCCCTTGAGTGCAATTGCAGATCGTTTTTGCCGTAACTCCTTGGCTAGAGATGAATCACCTGTTTTGGTGTGATTTCTGCAGATTCGTTGTAATCGTTCTTCCACAGCCAATTTGATGTGTTTCTTTCGTAACTGCTCCGTACGACGCTTATAAGCCTAAAATAAGTTTTTATAAGTAACGTAGTGGAGCAATTTCGTTGAATAGCTGCGCTTGCACACGTTGCTAGTAAAATCAGTTCAGGGTAGTGGCGGACCGAGAGAAGAGGAGAGAAAGGGGCTCGAGATCGCAAAATTTGAAAATTATCTTCAATTATAAAATTCTGAAGTAACTTTCTACTTCCAATGATTAAGAGATTTTTCGGTTTTCTAAAATATTAAGCTCAGCTTTGTAAAAAAAATTTCGGAGACGTGGCTTCCACTATGCCGTTTTCAAGAATTTCAGGATGTTCACAGAAAAGGAAGCGTCCAAAAAGATTTCTCAGAGGACGAGACTAACGAAAAATTTCGGCTCTCCATTCAAAAAAAAAATCTGTTCTTCCTTACAAAGGCTAGAAATTGAAAATAAACTCAAAATCATCAAATGCGAATTACAACTTCCTAAGTTATATAATTTGTTCTCTTTATAAGTTTCACTTATGTTATTTATATTTTTACATTGTTTATGTTCGCATATTATTTGTTTTCCGACTCATTTTTCTTATTTATGCTTTTTAAGAGTTTATGCGTAGAATTATAGTGTTTTTCAAAGGGTTTGTATAAAATGGCCTGCAAAAATCGAATTTGACGCCTAATGCGGATGCTCTTGTCTGCAAATGCACATGTCGAAGTTCAAACCGAATTGCTGTATTTTCTCATCTTGACCTAAATGCCAGTAATCAGTCTTATCCTGAACATCTGGTTAGAACTGAGACGACATGATAGATCTAGAACATACCTCTTTCTCATGTTTCTCAAGGGAATCCCATTCGGCTGCAACGATTTTTGAAATATTACCAAAAGTTGCATCTGGGAACGATTTTTTCACGATCATTTGTCGCTCTCGGAAGAACATTGCATATGCCGAAACTGGCCTGGAAATAGTTCGTCATGAAAAGCAAAATGACCAACTTCTCAAAGGAAAAAAGAGAGAATTTGTGAAATTAAAGTTGCTGTAATAAATGGGACATTTTTAATAGTCTATTCACAGTTTTGATAATACCCGTTATAATGATGTTTCAAAAGTATGGATAAACTAGATCGTTATAACATATTGTTGTTAGACTCGTGAACAATTTTCTTCGACGTAATCAACCATCAAAAATTTCGTCTTTATGTTCTCAGTTTTTCGCATTTATGGCTGCCAAATCACGAAAAGCAAAATGCTATAAGTTCCTACCGTATTCCTACAGTGAAAAAGAATGTATCGTTGTTCCGTTTCATATTACAAGTTTCAATTAAAGCCTGTCCTTTACTTTATTCAACTGAATACTATTGACTGCTGTTAATTGATATTAATATTTCTTGGTATCAGTATCATTACTACTTTATTCATTTAAAGCTACAGAAAGCATACAAAGTTTACTAAAGTAATTATTGTCGCTAGCAATAGCAACAGCTAGAAACCTAGACCCCAATAGAATTAGATCTCCAAATGAGTAATTTGCGTTTTGTGTGGGAAAACAGCCCCTAATTCACCCAGCATTGATCCCAAGCGTTCAACTGTATAACTTCTCCTTATGTGATTTACGAAGATGGGAAGAATATGGTTTGGATAGCATGAGCTACGAACCTCGTATTCTCTTGATTTGAATCCTCGAGTGAGTTCATGGATGTCTGAACCTCGCTTGGAAGTTGTTTGTTACTCGGATTGTTTTCATCAAAGAATGTCGGCTGTATGGAATGCCAGTCAATTGATGCAAATGGGATGTTGTACATGGAGAAATCTTCCATCTTAAACAACCTGAAATGCTACAAGTCGGTCTTCGATTATTTTGGAAGTGAGGGAATTGTCGAGAAATAAAAGTTACAGTAAGAAAAAGAGATTATCCAAAGTTCAATTTCAGCCTTCTAATTGTAAGATGAAAAGAATATGGAATGGTAAAGTTGTACAAGTTCAAAACGAGGCAATGGAGAAATTAAGCTAAAACCTAATGGGGGGGGGGTAGTATACTAAGTCTTGCACCAAAAATTTCGAAAAATCGTGAGCATTTGTGCTTTCAAGGAGTATATATTTCAACGTGCCTTAGAAAGAGAAGAGCTTTGGCTTCCCAATAGTGCTCAAAGTAATGTAGATCTTAGCATTTCGATTTCTAAAAATGCAAGAAGGTTCAAGAAAATCTGATACTATAGTTGATTGTGGTTTTACGACTCAACTTGACCAAGAAAATTGGGAAATGTTATTCCTACTAACATTACGATTTTAGACTTTCCCGATTTTTCGACTTTGTTCTAAAAAAAAAGGTTTCTAATCTGATAGTGTAACAGAGCACTTGCTCTAGCTTACAAAAAAGATAAAATATAATTTAGCCGCTGTTTTGGATGATTCTTAATGAGAGTTTTTGGCATTTTTGGTGCATTCCTTTTTTATTTTGTTGAAGGAAATTCGAAGTCAATTGTTCTAATTCTAATATTCAAATTTCTGACAAACTTCTGTTTTGCAAGGAAACAGCAGAAATTGATAGAATACACATTAAAGACCGTACGCATTGAAAGAATCATATAAAGTACTGCAACTTCTGTCTTACTAAGACTAGAATATCCTTCAGTAACAGCAGCGGACCGAAGGTAGGGACAAAACTTCAAAATTTTTGACAGCCCACATGAATCCTAAATTTGTGCAGGTATCTTTTTTTGTTTGCTCATTTGAAACATTCTACGAAATTCATTAGGTTTGGAATATTGGTGTTCCACCATAAAACCCAAAAAATTTTATAAAAAAATGCTTGCATAATTTTCTAATCTGCATTGAATTTTTTCGTTGCGTACAATATATTAGGTTAAACCAAAAGTTCTGTCGCACCATTTTCAAAAAATCATAACTTCTTTCGGTCGCGACGATTTTGCGCAATTCAAATTTTGTCTGAAAGCGTAAAGCTTGTAGTTTCCAAAAGCTCCCTAGGGAGTTTCCGACATGCTCAGGTGGCAGAGATAAAAATGAAAGAACAAGATCATCCGAAATTCGGAATTTTTAAGCAAGAATTCTAGAAATTCAGAAACAGTGCGATAAAATCCAGAAAAGCCATTATCCGAATTTTTCTTACATTTAATTACTAAATGAGTCAAGTTTGTGCTGATCGAGGTCTTCTTTCAGAAGTTATGAATTTTTGAAAAAAAATCCCAAAAAATCCATTTCTTAAGAATTCTTAGGAATTTGATTTTTCGGCATTATTTTTCAAAAAATCATAACTTTCGAAAGAAGAGCTCGATCAGCACAAACTTGACTCACATAGTAATCAAATGTAAGAAAGATTAGGATAATGGCTTTTCTGGATTTTATCGTACTGTTTCTGAATTTCTAGAATTCTTGCTTAAAAATTCCGAATTTCGGATGGTCTCGTTCTTTCATTTTTATCTCTGTCACCTGAGCATGTCGGAAACTTCACAGGGAGCACTTGGAAACTTTATGCTTTACGCTTTCAGACAAAATTTGAGTCGCACAGAATCATCGTGACCGCAAGAAGTTATGAATTTTTGAATCGGTTCAACCTAATATGTAGTATCTTATTATTTGTATTGACCGTTTGAAACAATATCAAAATTCAAAGGAATAGATTCAAAAATCACAGCTTTTTGTAGTGACATCCAAACAAACTGATCTCAGCTGGAAAGAGAATTTATAAAATGTGAAAAATGAAACTAAGGACTTTACGGACCTTTTACCATTTTTGGCAACCGAAAGCTTCTATTTCCGCGATCACAGCAATACTTTTTACTTTGAACATTGATAGAAAGCGCATGATTTCCTTTAAACGAATTCAGAATCTGAAGGGACTTGCGGATATAAACGTTTTAGTATAAATTAGCTTCATAGAAACTCAGCTTCATGGCATAAACGTAGACAATCCCCCTTATTGTAAAACAGACGGAATTTATTAAACAGTGCAAAAATAGGATAACCGCTTCCATATACAGAGCAGGGTATGTATACATATGAAAATATTATGAAAAAAATTATCAGAAAAAAATTATAAAAATGTATGCTTTAAATTGATTTCCGAATTTTGTGGCTGCAATTTCATGTGCAACTTATATTTTACGATTCAGATACTTTATATTACAGAACTTTGCTGATCGTCTTTTTTTTTCATTCCAGGAAGGCTGTACCATATGTGACGGTAATCTGATTAGGTCCTACAGATGGCTTAGAACAGATTTCAAAGAGAGTGTCTCCATTCACGTCAAAACCGTTTGTGAACTTGGAAGGGGTACTCACCACTTTTTCCTCATGAAATGTTAATATTTGGAGCAATAAAAGATGTAACAGGGAATGTGTAAAGCCCAAACTTGCACACTTTTTTGGAGACATGAACCTAGTTACAGCTACTCATGGCAGAAGTATTCAGCAAAATAAAATGTTACTCAAATGGAATTACTACCATTCAAACGAAAAATTTCCTATATGTGCACCTCCACTAAAAACTTTTGGTGATAAATACCCTAAAAACTTGGAATTGGTTAGCCACAAGCTTAGTTTTGACTTCAAAATTGACTGTTATTAAGACAAAAATATTCAGAACACATGTGAGACTTGCTATGTACTAATAATGATATTTGACGGTGCACCTATTTTACTACAAGAAAAGGGTTGAAGAAAAAAGGACCGCTTCAATAGTGCTGTGAAGTCCATAGCAGAGATCCAGACTACAAAATCGTGTCAAAATTAAGATTGACCAGAAAATTCTACATCACAATGAAAATAGCTCTTCAAGGTCTTTCCACGTATGCGATGAAAACCCTGGCTTCTTGCAATTTTGCCAAAACAACACAACGAACAACCTCATATCAAAAAGCCCAAGCTTACAAAAAGTGGGTTCAACTAATAGATTTTAGGATAGATGAATGGAAAAGACCCAAAAAACTGGTCTCAGCACGAAAAAAACCAAAGGAGCTGCCATAAGGACGAGATTACAATGTGGATAGGTGTACTACATAATGCCAACAAGTCACAGTGATTAGCGTAGCCGCCCTTCATAATTACAGTACAATTACCGTACATGCTCGGACTGCCTTTGACTCAATGCATATGTTCATTGCGTCACTCAGGATAATCCACAACCGAATGCTGGTCACACACCTTCTCACATAATGGAATAATGGCCTACTAAGCAGCATGAGAAAGTCATTGCGCAAGGAAAAAAACTCATAGTAATTTATTCAAAACAATGAAAAAATTTTAACAATAACAAGTAACAATCTTTGCAAAACCATAAATTCACAGATATCAAGTTTCTCCGGCAAAGCACTCTTCTATCTTCTTGTATGCTTCGCTATCCGGGAAATTAACATTAAGGAACAATCGCAATCCTTCAGAGAGCAGAGGGTTTTTGTCTCTCATGAAAAGTGGACTGAAAATTCTTCGAAGTTTCAGCATAGGGCAAGTTGACAGCTGTTTGAAGACTCGACGGATGATTGACGAGACAACTCCAGATAATGTGCCCCATTCCACAACCTAAACAATAAACAGTTTCTATGATTTACAAAATCTTTCAAAAGCTTTACAAAGTGGTAGAAAAAGAAGAAGAGAAAAAAAAGACCGTATTTGAGGACTAGAAAATCAAACGATTACGAACCTTTAGTACAGTGATAGACAGCGTCTCGTGCGAGATGAGGTAGTGTATAAGATCCGCTAGTCTGGTACGAGCACGAGCCTTGAGCGAGCCTGCTTCCCGAATGCGATCCCACAGAGCGTACTGAGTAGTCAGCTGGAATTACCTTATTATATGAATAGAAGATTCTTTCATGCCGGTAAATTCTACCCATTTCAGCGCTCTGCTCATGAACTCTTGCGTACTCCTTTGAAGTGTTTCTTTTTCATAAAAATTCATGTCAGCTTGATCAGAACTTATTACAAACGGTGGATGTCATATAAGGTCCAACAAATCCGATCAAACATAGCTAGATAGAGCCAAAGATCGTAAAGCTAATGACAAAGAACGTCGTTTCTATGAACGAACCTACGAAATCACTTCTGCGTTTATGTAAAATTCAACTAAAATAGCGTTCCAAAAAATTTGCATACTAATCAATCTTTAATAACTCTTCTGCTTCAATGTCTTTTGTCGATCTTTGGGTACCAAGTAGAGCTGGTTTACAGAGGGAAGCGATTCTCCGACCCCTTTCGTTACTGTAAGATTACGGAAGGAGCTCTGAAGAGGGATTTAAAGGCAGCGTCCAGGCAAGTCTGGACCTATGAGGATTTTACGTGGAAAGTACTTTTGGGACCCTAACTAAGCCACTGCCCAACCGGCAGCTCAGGTAGTGCCCTAACGCCTGAGATATTCCCCTCGAAAATGGAGCCCGCGACCGTGTTTTGCATGGATTCATGGCGCAAGCGTGGATCCTGGCGCGAAACTGCCATGAATCCATGCGAATACGTTCGCGGGGGCCAGTTTCGAGGGGAATATCTCAGCCATCAGAGTACTACCTGAGCTGCCGCTTGGGCAGTGCCTTAGTTAGGGCCCCAAAAGTACTTTCCACGTAAAAGCCCCATAGGTCCAGATCTGCCTGGACGCTGCCTTTAAGCCGTTAAACAAGCCAAAAACTCTTGTGCCAGGCTAATCAGAGTCGCTGATTTTAGATATGAAAACTGCGCATCACTAGCATGCTTCTATTTCAGGAGAACCTTGATAGCTGCCCTTTCAATGTCCCTTAGAAATGTGACTACACCATTAACAAAGCTCACAAAACTAGTAAAAAGTTGTGCAATGAAATCAGCATGCTTGTAGACCCTACTACACAATTCCCTAGAATTCTTTTATTAGGTCGTTCCGAAAGTAATGTCGCTTTTTTCAAATGAACGCCACATCTCACGGAGTTAAAATTTTCAAGAGATCTTAAGAGCATTCAACGCAGCATTTCATCCTCTTTCTAATGGTCTTAATTTCATTGCATAATATGCAATGAGCTCTCGAAAAATTACCAATATCTGCGACTCATGCTTTTTGCCGCGGTCAAGTTCGGCTATTTTTTTAAATTTTTGTACTTATTCTGCGAAGAAGTAAAAGAGACAGTTAGATAGAGCAAACCCTTTAAGACACAGGATTATTTTTTTTCTTTTCATTAGCTTGCTTCTTAAACTTTCTGGAATCAATTTTGTAATGCCATCAAATTCCATATTTGGTCAACTCAAACCTCACAGAACAACAACCGGCACTGAACTCCGGTGTCATTCGAAGGAGGTTTTTCTCCTCTTTCTACCAGTTGTTTTTTGTTTCCGATTCATCAAGTTTTCCGGGATAAAATCGTCATAATTCAGAATTTCCAGGGCGCCCCAGGCTGTACCCGGAATTTTCGAAAGTAGCTAATCTGAAGCGGTGAATGCTCATTTGGTTACTAAAATTAGTGTCAAACCATAATTCATTTGTGTAAGTTTCAAAATCCGAAGATTTATTGGTGTTTGATGCATTTGTGTCTGAGGCGAAAATGCTGAAATTCGATGGTTCCATTAAAAAATCTATGCAAAAATTATGACGAGCTCTAGAAAGTAGAAAAAAGTTGTGCTGTTTCCTGTGGGGGTTGCTTTATCCATCCATTACTTGGACTCCTTCCGAGGGTTGTTGTGGAAATTTAGAAAAATTGTGAAACTTGGCCTTCCAAAAAGCATGGGTCGCAGATTTTGATAATTTTTGGAAACGTTATTGAATTCTGTGCAGTGATTATCAAACCATTAGAAAGAGTATGAAATGCTGCATCAAATGCTTTCAGAATGTTTTACACATCTTTGTTCCACGAGATGTGGCGTACGTTTGAAAAAAGCGACATTACTTTCGGAACGACCTAATATTTTTCAATGACACGGCCTTCTTGGCAATGGCGGTATGATGAAAGTTCGTACCTGCCCTCAGTGGGTCCAAGAGGGGTGGGTGGAGGGAAGGGGCCCGGAATTTTTACAAGTCACTTACATGTATTATTAAAACGTGGAAGTGACTTGTTTATACTTGTAAATAATTTAAATAATTTCTGAAATTTTTTAGAAAATTGAATTAGCCTTGTAAAAAAAATTTCGGTGGCGGTCACGCCCCCTTTCTCTATTATTTTGGGGTTACGCGCAGAGGTGCGATAGTCGGAGCCGATTCTCCGCCTACCTTCACTTTTGAGCTGGTACAGCGGGTGACCACCTTCACTTTTGGGTTTGAAATTTTTTTTGCTAAAGCTCAAAAGAAGGAAAATAAGCAGCAGGAATGTAAAAGAAAGTGTTAAGAGCATATATCTATGTAGTAGGTCGATCAAGGCAGTAATCGCCGAGAATCAGAATTTCGAATGATAAAATAATGAAAAATCGTGAAAAATCATTCCACTGTTACAAATCTGCTGGCTGAAGACCTCCGCAGTTGCGACTTCATAGGTTTTGAAGGGTAAGTGTTGTTCTACCAGATAGTGAAAGAATCAGTTTGATTTGTGGAGTGGCCGCCGAGAATGAGAATTTTGAAAAACCTTAGAAATCTTCTCAATTTTGAGTTGCTTAATGACAACTGATAAACTCTTATAAATCCGGACTTTGAAGGTGTGTGATGTTGCGACTTCATAGGTTTTGTAGGGTGAGATTTGCCCTATCAGAATATGTCTTAGCTGTACCGATCCATTGAAACATCGCCGAGATCCAGGCTCTTAAAAAAGCGGTTAAAAAACCGTTTTTCAGCTCATAATTCCTTTAGAACTGCATGAATCATGTTGCGATTTCATAGGTTGCATTCTCCTCTTCAAGAGCTTTCAGATGATTTATAATATGTGGGGGATGTAATGTTTCTTGCGGCTCTAACCCAGGGTGGAGTACTCCTCTTTACTAATTCTCCACCCCGCCCATTTCAATGTATTGGCGGGAGGCCGCCAGTGGAGAATTAGTGAAGAGAGGTACTCCACCCCCGGGCATATGCCGTGGGAGGCGTGAATCTCTCACATATTATATATCATTTGAAAGCTCTTGATGAGGAGAATGCAAACTATGAAGTCGCAACATGAATTATGCAATTCTGAAGAAGTTATGAGCTGAAAAACGGTTTTTTAACCGCTTTTTTAAGAGCCTGGATCTCGGCGATGTTTCATTGGATCGGTACAGCTAAGACATATTCTGATAGGGCAAACCTCACCCTACAAAATCTATGAAGTCGCAACATAACACACCTTCAAAGTCCGGATTTATAAGAGTTTAAATGTCAGTTGTCATTAAGCAACCTAAAATTGAGAAGATTTTCAAAAGTTTTCAAAATTCTCGTTCTCGGCGGCCACTCCTCGAATCAAACTGATTCTTTCACTGTCTGGTAACTTACCCTTCAAAACCTATGAAGTCGCAACTGCGGAGGTCTCCAAACCAGCAGATTTGTAACAGTGGAATGATTTTTTCACGATTTTTCATTATTTTATTATTCGAAATTCTGGTTCTCAGCGGTTACTGCCTGGATCGACCTACTTATTTCGCAGTACGTCATAACAAAAAGTACTTGATGAAACACATAAAGTCTAGCTGAGTATCACTCACAAATACACTATTTCATTAATAGTTTATTTAAAATATTTATGCAGTTGTACTCATCGTATTTGTGGCCCTAAAGAGGGCCGTTGGGTCAGAGTTATTGGCCCTAAAGAGGACCGTTGGGCTAGAGCTCTTCAGTTATTCGAAGTCATCATGAACCTTTGCTCTATCGTAGAAAGTGCTGAGGCGTATATGCGTCCATATCGGTGATGGCCTCCAGGTGCTCGCAGTAGGCGACGGCGACTTCGTAAAAATAAACTGCATAGAATATGCTCTCAATACTTTCTTTTGCGTTCGTTTTGCTTAATTTCCTTTTTTCAGTTTCACCAAAAAAATCAATACCCAAAAGTCGAAAAAAATCCGAACTAAAAAATCAGAAACCCAAACCCAAAGTCCGTCCTGTGCTCCCCCCCCTCTCTACTCCCACCCCCGGTCAACGTTTTTAAGAGGTGAGTGTCCGGCACTACCACCTTCACTTTTGCTGGCCAGTGGTAGCTGCGACCCCCCCCCCCCCCGTCGACATTTTTAGGAGGTGAGTGTCCGGCTCTACCACCTTCACTTTACCTGGCCAGTGGTAACTGGAACCACCTTCACTTTTGGGGAGCCGGGCTCCACCTATCGCACCTCTGGTTACGCGGCACGGAAAAAATTTGGGAAGCAACTCAAGCAAACCTCTACAGAATGGTGCTCAAAGATCTGCGAAAGACATCGAAGAAGTTATTAAAGATCAAACAGTGCATACATTTTTGGGACACCCTTCTTATTTGAAAACTCTCGCAAGTGAAAAGAATATAGAACTAAAAACTCACGGTAAATCTCTTGTCAAAATCGCAAAATCTGGCAATTAGCATTGGATAGAAAGGGTTGAATGCTTTCTCTTTCAGCATCATTGTTATAAGGACGTAAATAATCTCCCTTTCTTGCTGTCCTTTGAGCGAGAGTCTCAGAAGCTTCTCGAAAGCAGAGTCCTCGTCGTCCGATGTTGCTAAAATGAGTGGAATATCCTTTTATTTGGTTTATTAATAGAGCTGCAAACCTATGGTGCAGAACACATTTCTTCGCACTTCGCTGTTCATTTTGGCTTTTCGTGCAAGCTGCACAATATTTTCGGGGAAATTATGAGCATCCTTAGAGACTCCTGTTGCTGTCGTAGGATTCGTATCATGTACAACGTGGTAAGCTGATCCAACCACCCACATAAAAATCAAATTTGACGATAAGAAACATAAGCAAGTTCAAAACACTTGAGACAGACCATCGACCTCGTTCTTCAGCGTGCAGAATATCGTCAAGAGACATACCTAACTCCTGCTCTGAGACCACTTTGTTTTCTGAATAGTGATTTGATTCACATCGTTAAAAAACCAACAAAATGATACTCACTTTTTCTTAAGCCTTGGAAGATCTTTAAATGGTGCTCTATAACCGATTGATCAATATTTGAAGGTGGAGCCTTTTGAAGGGACAACAATGTCTCTCCAAGAAACTTCGCTCTAGGTCTAAACAAGAAATAAGAAGTACTTCTCTCACCAAAAAATTGAACTTACAAGCCAGAGAACACGGCAGACTCCAGTTTCTTCGATACTGCTGACATTTCTTCAGAGAAAGCAGTCCAATAATGTCGTCGCAAAGATTTATAGGAATCTAAGTTGATACGACAGAATACACATAATGGTCAAGCCGAATTCAGGCTGTGTCCAGAATTGACCGTGCCAGTGCCGTTTCAGCGCCGTTCCAACGCCGTGCCGAAACACCGACTGATCAATAACGAGGCGTGCAGGTCGGCTCTGACACGGCGCTGGCACGATGCTGCACAGCTCCGACATACGGCAACTTTGAACGCAGCCAAGAAAATGAAAGAAAGCTATGCTTACAAGAGGATAACGTCACGACCAGTTGAAGATTGTCAACAGTTAGCTGTTCTCGCAATTTCTGCAGCACCTCCACAATGACTGACATTTTTATGACCTAAAACGTTCAAAGTGAATCTCGATAATTCATGGGTAAGATAATATACCCGAAAATGAAGGAGATTTGCGAGAAATACAACACTATTCTCAAGCTTTTTATCGTCTGCGGTTTGTGCCGTAGAAATCTCTTTGATAAAATCTCGCAGGAAAACTTCAACAAAATAGGCAGCTGGAAATAATGAGAAATGGAAGAGTATCATCAAAAACAAACGGAAAATTACCGTACAGATCTCTTCGCTGATAAAAGCATGTATGTGGGCAATAAAAAGTGCATATAACGAAAGCAGCTGATCCTGAAGTCGATAAGGGGAACCAATCAACCGTAGTATGATTCGTGTCAAACATGACTTCACGTCTAAATGAGAGCTTTCAAACTGTTCCATAAAAGAAAAGTGAGACAAAAATGAAATGCTTGCCATTTTTCGAGTGATTCTGCCAGTACTGAGCGATCACCTGATGACTTCTAACTAATGTACCCTCGGACAACCTGAAAGCAGAGATTTTCAGCCTGATCAAACTTGCACAGAACCACATGCCTATTTATTGTGCCCAGGAGAACTCGTTCAATTTCCAATTTTGACTCATCATTGCCACCTTTAGCATCAAGATCCTCTAGCTTCTTCAAAGCAGCCTTCGGGTCTGCTCCAATCACTTGTCCAGTTTTTCTGGAATGTAAATTATCCATGATCGCATGTTGAGGCTATATACTACCTGTTGATAGTGCGACCGTAGATATCCTCTTGCAACTCTTCCTCACCATCATCTTCGTCTTCGCTCTATTAAGTGACAGGCATCAAAGTACGAGAAAAAAGAACGTATAATGCTTACATTTTGCTCATCTTCATATTCGTTTTCATCAATTACGCTTTCGTGATCTTCTTCCGGTGAATTAATATCTTCTTCAAGATCTACGTCCCCTTCTATTGTACTCATGGCTTCGTCGTCGTCGTCAGTCAGTTCCCCTCCTGTAGTAAATGGAATCCTCTATAGTGCGAATGAGATCCTATTGCAGGAGCGCAAATATGCTGCACAGAAAAAAACCAAAATAAAAAAACATCAAAACCCACATATTAGACAATGAAGAGCTCTTGGTAATACACATAATGAAAATGTGCAAGTGACTTGTTTATGCCCAAAAAGTTCCGAAATTTCGTCTCCCCCCTCCCCCGCAACCACTGATACATACATATCAGTGGCGTACCGAGGGGGCCCCCCGAGGATGGGTCTTGAAATTTTTGAAAGTTATTTGAATGTGTTATAAAAATGTGTAGAGGACTTGTTTTTACTTGTAAATAATTAAAATGACTTTCAAAAATTCAAATTAACCTTGTAAAAAATTTTTCGAAGTTTTTTTTTGAAATTTCGGGGTTCTGAGCCCGCGAAATTAGGGAGCATAGCAAAAAAATTTTCGGAGTACGTGGCTGACGCCCGCACCTTCACCAAAAAAAAATTTTTGTCGCGTCACCCCCCCCCCCCCCCCCCCCCCGCCCCGAGCCGAAATCCTGGGTACGCCACTGATACATATGTATATTATACAGCAATATTGACCTTGAACAAAGTGGCAATGATAATAATGGTAATAATAACTTCAAATGATAAGTAATAAACCGCAGTAACAGCTACATAGCAAATAAGACAACTTCCTACCTTGCAAACTAATTTCTTGATCCGTTGAGGAAGCCAATAATCGTTTGCGATTGTCACTATCGCAGAATTCCAACAAATCTGGAATATTTTGGGAAATGCTTCGTTTGACCATTCACGGTGCTCGAGGCCTTTCTTACCATCCAGGCCATCATTAGCAAAAGATTTAAGTTTTGTAGCCTTCTTTTTCTCAGTAATTCCAAGGAGCTTCGAGTAACGATGAATGTCAACATCATCTTGCTCTGGATTGTCTTCCTCCATTGCAATCTTCATCTTTTTGTCCTAAAAATGATCCTCAGTCAGTCGTGGTGAGAACACCAGGTACAGATATATATCACACCTGTACTTCTTTCAGATACTGCTCATAAGTAAGACCATCATCAGAGTCGGACTCAGAGCTTGAATATCTAGTGTTTGTCCCGACCTGCAACCCTTCAGAGTCGTGCTGAGCGACCGCTGTTTCACTGTTAGCTTCAGAGCGGTTCTTTTTCTTTTTCTTCTTTGTTTTCTTTCTGACGCCAAGAGCATCCACCATAACCTTCTCTATCTGAAAACGCCTATACAAGGAGAAGTCTCCAGCGATAAAAACGTTCTGAAGGCATTCTCGTGTCAGAGTTTGGCGTTGCGCTAAGCTGCTAGATAAGAGAAATGCATGACTCTACTTTCAATAGAATTGACAAATACGGGGTCAAAAGATAAGCTTTTCTTACCGGCTGATGCTTGGCCATTGCGACTTTTTGAAGTTTTCTGAGCTGCTTAGCTCGTTTTCTGTCTTGTTTTCTCGAAGATTTGACTCCGTTGTGTTCCGATTTCACCACAGTCATCCATTTCTTCAAACCCATCCTAAAAATACCTTACTGAACAGTCTTAGTCCAATTTTCTTGTAGAAGAGGCAAGAACGAAGCAACTCAAATTGATTGTTGAAAAACTTCGAGGAAATCGCTCAAGAATTGACAAGCAGACTCATTTCAATTCGAACTATTAGCGATGACTAGGCTGAGCAGGACTTATGAGAAAAAAGACAATTTTCTATGGAAAACAAGAAGTAAATCAAGAATACACGTAACACAGGACCGCTAATTCAAGAGCAGACCTAGTAAGGAAAAGTTTACCCAACATTTTTTGCAAGAATCTCCTTCAATGGAATTTTGCCATCAAACAAGGTACGGTAACATGAAAGATAATTTTCCAACACTTTAAGAATGTCCTTTTCGAGATGTCATGCAAAATCAGTCAAATTCACATAAACAGTAGATCACATGATTCAAAAAAATTATTTTAATGATTTTATAGCATTCAGATTTGCATATTCACATCTCATAAATGTTATTTACTCTTGCTGCAAAATAGTTTTGCTTATTTTCTAAGACAAAAGTGAAAAACGATAGGTACAGAGAATCCGTCGCAGCAGAGTCCATGTGCACGCCGTCGCGTTCGATCAAGACAGTACGTGTTTGGGATAGACAGCAGACACCTAGAGGAATGAAAGTGCGTTCAATCTGAGAGACACAGGCCGCAACAACTACCTATTTCTGCGTGCGATGAAATACATGATCTTCGCATTCTACAGCGATTCAAATATGAATTGAACACAAATGAAAAGAAGGCCAACGTGTGCAACAGGAGTAAAATTATCAAGGTAATGATTAGATGAGTTGGAAAGGCGAGCTAACCGCCGCGATTTTATTCTTGTCTAGTTGCTTCACAGTATGAGCACGTCGTCCCTTGATGATCAAGCTGCTCAACTCAATGAAGTGTGGGAAGCTGAGGCGAAGGGACGAGCGAAAATCTTAGAAGCGAATGGTCGCCGCAGGAAAAGGATACAAGAAGCACGTCTTCTAGCCCAATCAGAGATTGATCGGTTCAAAGAGGTAGATGATCATGGACTTTTTCAAATTTTTCAAGTGCCTGAGATACTCAGGAAAAGGAAGCTGCCTTTAAATTAAAGTGTCAATCATTCGAAAATGAATACAAACGGCGCAAAAGAGCATTAATACGCGATGTTGAAAGAGAACTGAATTATATGGAAGCAAGAGTTCAACTATGTAAACCAACGGTAAGTCGGACCTTGAATGATATTTATCTACGAAGTACTGCTGATGAGGATAATAGAGAATCAGGAGGGAGATAATTGTGATCATTACCAGTTCGCTATACTGGAACGAAACCGCGTTAATGAACCTTACAAGTATGGATGAAGCTGGATGTGAAACATACCTGAAGTGTTCCGTAAGCAAGTTCTAAAGGGTAAACAATTGGCTCGCTTACCTAAGATAAGAGCGGTAATTTTTTAGCAGATGCACCAACAGGTGGTGGGGACCGAGCAGTTGCAGGCGATATGGCCGGTCTGGGCTAATAAAAGCGCACAAACCCTCCTCCGCTGTTGAGCTTTCACCTATATCATTTCCGAGTTAAGAGTACAAGAAATATTGAAGACAAGAAATTAGGTACAAAATGAGGTACAACACGGTTTGTGTTCTGAAAGCTAGACGAACTGCATAATTAGCCTTGACTAGTGAGGTACTCATAAGAAATCTATCTTCTCATGTAGTGCTGTTGAGCTTTCACCTATATCGAAAGACTGGTAGAATCAGTCGCAAATTTTTTCAAAGATGCAGCTCGTCACGTGCAGGGAAAAAATCAAAAAGAATATCTTTGGAAAACTGTCTCAATGCGAACAACAGGTAGATGAAAAATATCTCAAAAAAAGCAGTACTTTCAAGGCTGATGAAAGCAAGAACCAATGACTGTTCAGGATCCGCATTCTGGTTGGCGTAATGGCGAAGCGGGGTTTGCATGTTCGTCCCCCCTCTCAACCATGGACCAAGAAAGTCCCCCATCCTCCGGTAGGTAAGATGCCGGAGTGATCTGGGAGGACAGTGGGGATTCATAACGAACTTTACATTCTGGCAGAAAGTTTCAATTCTCGAATCATATGTTTAGACGATATTTTCTAAGATTAGGTCTGAAAGGTCTTTCAGTTTGTCATCACCATCGATCAGATTTCTAGGAAAAGACCAGTTGGTGGTTAAGGGATCGGAAATAGGTTGCTGGCAACGGCTGCCGAGGTTGCGCTTGAAGAGCGCACAACACGAGGAGACTACTATGAGGACCTGCAACGACCAACAATCTCGACAATCGCTGTCGGCAACCTATGGCCGATCCCTGACGGTAGGTATACAGTATACTAGCAGATTTCAACCTCTCGACCTCGATTCGGTATTTTTTGCATGCTGATTTGTCACAACAGTGGCTACTAACGTCTTCTATGTTCTTAAAGCAGTTCAAACAACATCGTTGGGCTGTTTCGCAGAGATCTGGTTGAACTCAGTTTACCAATCTAACCTAATTTGAAAAAAAGAACTCAACCACTATGGTAATTTGTCCATGCACTTCATGCCTCAAAAACGAGATTACTGACACAACTGATATGGGTTCTTACGAAAAATATCTAGGTAGAATTAATTGCAAAAGAGATTACAAAAGCCAGAAACGCGGCCACTTAGGTTATTGAACTCCTGGAGGTACTCACTACGAATGTGACGTACGCTACTCATCGAAACGTGGAAACAAGACAGTGGCTCGATACAGTACCGGCACAACGCGGCTCTCCGCCAGTTGATCGACGGCAATGTGATGAGGTCAGATGAAATTTCCTGTGTGCCGGGTCTTGATGCATTAAAGGGATTTAGGCAACTTGGAATCTTATACAGAAGTATGCAATGGAATGTGAAAAACTAGCATCAAGAATACCAAGCTCTAGCGCAAGTGAGCGATTCTGGAGTCAAACAAGTCCACGTTTTGAGTGAAGACCAAACAACGTGAAAGACTAATTTATAACTCAAGAAATAATAAAAGCGAACTGGCGGTGAATAAAAAGTAAATTATTAGGTAGCTGAGACAAAACCGAGGTAATTATACACATGAAACAAACCTTAATAAAGCTTTTATTTTCTATCTTCTAATACTTCGGATCATTTTCGTGAGCTTTTGTAAGCCATAGACAGCACTTCTGTAAAATCCTGCCGTCACAGTATTTTTGAGAGTTTGTGAGATGGCAACGGGAGCGACAATAGAAGAGAGAGCCTGCGCCACATGCTCGGAAACGTCATGACGATGTGCTAGTGAGAACAGCACCTAGAATCACAGCAATTTAAGACGGTAGACGAGCTTCAAATAAACTCTATTACACCTCTTCCGTATCCTTATGCCACTTGTTCCTTTTGTTCCAATTATGTTGTATAGAGTTCAGGACAGCGGAAGGTAGAAGATTTAAGCGATGATATATGGCTGCGGTGGAGCCGTCTTGTAAGATCTAGAAAAACTCGAACGCGAAAATAGAGAGTGTTCAGAACGACTAACATTATCACTCTGAACCACAATCCTAGGGTCTTCAGTTAGCATGGGTTCATAGACATCGGCCAGCTCCTGCATGCTCCCTCGTACAATTTTGGTCACCTGAAATGATAACAGGGCAATAACTTGTCGACGTTACCCCTCGCATCCCCCTCGCGCGGTACGAAGATACGAAGTGGTTACAAAATCTGAGCTCGCCTTGGGTAGGAAGGAAAGCCACAACAATTTACAGTGTTAGAAAATCAATGCTAATCCTCAGACTATATCTTATGTCGATGTGCTCGGTCACATGAGAAAAAAATCGGAAAGGAAGCAAACTTTGATTTTATAGTGCACAAGCAGCCTCAAGCACTGAGCATCGTCTAAGTCTGCTTTGCAAATTTGATCGCTCTGAGGCAAGACTGTTTGTTATAAAACAAGTTTTCCACGCCATTATCGTTAATGGTAACAAAAACAAGAAGATACATAAACGAATAGTATAGACGAGAAACGATGAACATTACCTTCTCTCTGTCTTCTCCGACGTACATTCTAAAGTCACCAGAATAAGAAAGCGAGACTATGCTACGGAAGAGCTCTTCCAATGGGCAAGAATCAGGTGACAGCAACAATGCAGCTTGCAGAGCACTTCGTCTGTTCTCGTAGAGATTGCGCATGATTACAGACGTTGGTTTCACCACCAAAAAACAACTAATTGGAATAAATCATGCAAAAAATCGGAACAATGACGAACTCACGTCTAGTACTGGTTTGTGAAGTCGTCCAGAAACATAGAGCCATTTCCAGTCGAGTAAATCTCTGTTGAGATCTTCTGTGGCAATAACACCATACTTTATCCGACGATCACCTACTCGCACGTGAGTATTGTAGTAGATTCGAGCACCCAAACGTGTTTGATACTTCGCCAAGGCTTTCGCTCCAACGCACCTTCATATCGAGGTTTGATATATTGACTAGTGACTGGAATACGCTGTGATTACAGCGAAATCTACATATAAAGCTTGAGACAAAAGCAAAACAACTATCCCCAGTGTTTTAGCAGTGTGTCCCATCCTTTGTGAATCTATAACTCTCCCAGTGACAATAAATTTCAGTACATGCCCTCTATTGCAGCGTGTTTTAAGGGTGTTTCGAATGAAATGTCAAACCTTAACGGCTCCGTGTCCGCGCATCGCTCGGCCTAGCGCCGTGTTGGCGAATCTGTCTCCAAACATTTTTCACGCCCCAGCAGCGAATGAACGTGCGAAATTGTCTAGAGAACGTTTGCGAACGCGGCGCAAGCCTGAGCAAGACGTTCGCGGAGACCCCGCCAGAGCTGTGACACTGTCATTGCGACAGCCTATAAGTTGAAGAAAGCGTTCCGCATTCATGTTCACAACTTTAGAAACAGGAACCGCATGGTTTGGTAGATATGAAACAAGCAAGCATGTAAAAGAAGGTAGGATTTTGTGAAAGTATGACCTTTCATCTAGTTTTCTCACTGAATCACTATAAAAGCTTCTATAACCCCCGGGCGATGTCTTGTGAACAGTCATCGCATATGCTTCCTCATAATCTCCGTAAAAGTTTTTTTTATGTTAGGTGGGAAACACATCAACCTAAGGCTTTGACCATACTTTACCCGCGTTACCGATGTTACCAGTGTTACTCGTGTTGCCGGGTTAGTTGTGTTACTCGTGTTACTAGTGTTACTCGTGTTATCAGCGTTACTCGCGTTACTTAACAGTCAATGATAATGCGTTTTAGAATGATACCGTATTTATGATCATTTCACTACTCAACAGCAATAAAGCGGTAACACTAGTAATACCGGTAACACGAGTAACACAAGTAACACTGGTAACCGGGTAACAATGGTAATACGGGTAACACGAGTAAAGTATGGCAAAAGTGGACTTCAGGAGTGAGCGGATTCGTACCATTTCAAGCAATTTCGATAGCTACCAGCGGCAGTGCAAGTTGTTTTGATCTCAAAATGCAGGCAAACTTCTCAGTTCAGACTTCTTCTTAGCAAGGGATGTAGGTGAGTGCTATCGCTCTGCTGTATTGTAGGCTGCAACAACCGGAATGCTTGCCGAAAAGGTGCGAATACAGCGGCTCTATTCTCGTATACAATTACGTCAAACACACACTTTTATATCTCGACTCAACGAGAAATTCTATAAACTAAATCATGAGAAGAAGAAAGAAACGAAAAATTATTTTGCATAAATAACGCACCTTAGAAGACTATAATGAGATGGATTTTTCTCCAAGTTTTCTTTGTGAAACTCGAGCGGATCATTTGTGCTTATGATAAAGTCCACCATTTTCTTCGATTTATCCTCTCCTTTCTGCTGAAGTGCACCTGATCCATACGCAAAAGCATAGTCAACCGTAGAAAGAGGAAGCACGCTAAGTAACTCCTCGTATTCCTTCGATGTCATCCAGTTGTACCTGTACAAACTTACTGAGAAATTAAAACTGAGAATTGACTGGAAAAGTTTGTCACAAAACGGGTCCAAGAAGCGAAACGGCACAGATAGAACCGATGTAAAACAGATCATGATAATGGTATTCGTTACCATAACAAATACTAAACTACGATGCCTCTTGACCATACCACGTAAAACATTCAACCAACGAGTTTGTCTTCAATGAATTGATCTAGTAATGCCTCAGACATTCAGAAAAGTATTCTAAAATGTCACAGTTGAATATATTCAATTAAACATCAACAGCCGTGAAATGAAATGTGCCTTTCCGCAATTACACAATGCCGCCGTAAACACGCTCAGCGCCATGCTTGATCCGCTTGATCCACTTCAGCCACTTCACTATTGGTTAGTTTACTGAATTGACCAGTGATGAAGCGGATCAAACGGATCAAGTGGATCAGGCGGATCAAGTATGGCGCGTGCCTCATCGTCAGACACTCACACCGGCCTGCGATGTCCCATGACGGCCTTCCGGCCGGCGGCCACTTCATAAATCTGCGCGGAGCTATCTAAATGTCGGTCGGTGACCGCTCCGAAAGATCTTACCGGCTGGCGGCCGAACGAACGGTCCCCAGCCAGTATCTATATATATATATATATATATATATATATATATATATATATATATATATAATATATAACTATAATATACATTCGATCCTTTCAAGCGCGACGGCAGAGTTTTCTGCGTCCCTCCTATCCTTAACCCCAGCGTGACGGAGGGTCCAGTTGCTGAAGGAATCCAGAAAAAGGAATATAATAATAACTATAATATACATTCGATCCTTTCAAGCGCGACGGCAGAGTTTTCTGCGTCCCTCCTATCCTTAACCCCAGCGTGACGGAGGGTCCAGTTGCTGAAGGAATCCAGAAAAAGGAATGCGAAAATATAACGGCGCTCAGTGGTGGCGAGGGGAGAGGCCAGTAACCATTATGCCGGCGAGAGATTTGCTTGCACTATAGGTCCCGAGCGGAGCTGGTCTTTTTCAAACTTGAGCTAGGCGGCTAAAAATTGGTACAGGAGTGTATGTGCGCCTGCTGATTACGAAAACACTGGATTTTAGAATTATTGACTACCCATTAACTATCTTTACTAATTTTGTTGCTGCACTCGCTATGTGTTGAAATAGCAACGAGCCATGGTAGCTGAAATTGTTGTGTACGGAATTACTCCAGCTATCGATCTCTCTTTCGTCTTGAGTTCCGCTTACAGTTACAGCTTCGAGCTTACAGTTCTTCGTTTAAGCTTTCTGTTGCCCCTACTCTACACATATAGCCTACCTAGCCTCCTGGAAAATTCACAGTTCTTTCAAACGAAAAAACTGAGCATTCCGTGAATTATGGTGTTGAAGGGTGAGAGGATAGATTTTGAAAGAAGAATGCATCCTACGCGTACATCAAAAGAAATTCATCATAATCTACTTTTAGAGGCAAAGTGCTCGAAAATCGCTTGGTTTTTAGCAAAAGATTTAGCATTCAACCGATTTGGTCCAGAAGGGCGTAAAATTCGAGGCCCGCAAAGTGGAGCCTCATTCGGAAAGACTTATCACCCTTTTTTGCACAAATTTCAACGAAATCATCAAAAACTCGTTTTTGAAGAAAGTTTAGAAAGAAAGGAAAAGCGTGAATTTTCAACGAAGATGAGCTTCATCATTTTGCTCTCGAGAGTGGGTAAAATTCGTTCTGCTGAGCAGAGCCTCATTCTGAAATGTTTTCGAGCACTGCGGAAATTTCCGATTTTTCAACAAAAAAAGAACTGAGCATTTCTTCTGGTTTCGAAGGGAGAGGGGATAGATTTGAGAAGAACAATCAGCCTGCGCAGATCTCAACAATATTCATCACAAATCTGCCTTTGAAGGTAATGTGCTCAAAATTCTGATTTTTTTTTTCAGCGAAGAACTGAGCATTCCATCAATTTTGGTGTCAGAGGGGGTAAATTTCGAAGATCCCGAAGTAAAACCGTATTTGCAAAGATTCATCACTCTTTTCTGCACAAATTAAAAGCTATACCCGATTGCTGATTCTAATGGCCATGATTGCGTGGCTAACTTTATTGGCAGGATGGGAATTTTTTCGGACAATGGGTAAACGACAGTTTTTGGTATTTTTTTCACCAAGGATCCGTAAAATTCGTGTAGTATTGACAGTAGACAAAGACCGTATTGGCTAGACTACTATAAAATTGCAATTGTTTGGCATGAAAGTCCACTATTTTCATGTGTGTCAAATCCAAGTCACTCGATTCAAGAAAATTAGACCTAGGTACTTTTTCATAATTTTTGGGCAATCAGGCTATCGTACTCTCGTCACTGATGATTTGCAAGAATTTCAGTGACCCTTGAATCTTTAGTGCTGAGAAATTAGAGTATATAAGCCTTACAAAATTTACAAAATCTATTCGCTAAAAGTATAGCACACTCGCACCAAAAAATGGTAAGTAAAAAATGAGCAGTGAAGTGATTAATTTGAATTTCACTTCTATTTTCGGAGTGCTCATGGAAGGCATATTCGTTAAAATATATTTCCAGGAAGTTGATAGCATAAACATATTCCAACATTTTTTTCAACTCAGATTTTCCATTTTCCAACAATGATTTCTATGAACTGTTTTCTGCAATTGCAAACTCTGACCATGAGACTTTTCATTGGTTTTGATAGTGGAAAAATTTAGTGTTTCGAGATTTGGAGGGACGAAGGATGGGGTGCCCAAATGTGTGTCACTTTGGTAAGTTCTTGACTGAACGGGTTTAACCGCTTCTATCGCTACATTGCACTACTTTACCGTCTCAGAACATTTTTCACGGAGGCGCTTTAGGTGCACCTGCACCAGTTGACATGTTGTGCAATTTGCGATATTGAACCAGTGGCATCCGAAAATCGATGGGGTGGGGTTCCTTCTAAAAGAACCCCAAAAAATGGGGTTCTTTTATGTATAACTAATTTCATATAATAAAGATCATCTTGATGTTACCCATATGAAAATAGCTTCGACTTTCAGCTTGAAATGCTGAAAGATGAACTCTGTTTTGCTTAGTTCTAAATTTACGACATTTTGAATGAATATCCAAGAAATTCAATGATGATAAGAAATTTCAAATCGACCGCTCACATTATGTGATAACATGATCAACAAATTTTTCTGCTGTTAGTAGCTTAAGTGCAATCACTGAACTCTTTGTGATGGCACATTCTGACATAAAACCCGATCCCAAAATCAGAACTTATCGCTTTATCCAGGTCAAATGGGATCACAGCCTGAGATTGTGACAACAGATTTCGATAGATTGGAGTTTTATTCGGCAATTTCGAATTCCTTGCTTTGAAGCGAGGATTCTTGTATATTTTTGAGCCGAAAGGCGGAAAGTACATGAAAGAAGGTGCTGTAAAAATTTCCACCTTCTACCACGTAAATCTCGGGAAAGTACGAGAATTGAAGTAGCCTTTTACCAGTAATACTTAACACATTGACGACGATACGACCCACCGGTGGGTCGTACGGATCCTGCCATTTCGGACAATACGACCCACCGGTGGGTCGTAAGATTCATGAAGCGCTGTCCTTGCCAGTTTACGACGGAATTCTACGGGGTTTTGGCACCTGATTGGGGGCACTTAGGTGAAGCTCCAGCCAGAGTGGTCCGGGCTCGGGGTACTGTAATATAATGTTACGGTAAGTATACGGTAGATATATATAAGGCACAAGCTATAGCTCAAATTCTTCTTAAAATGATGCTGTTTCTGGAGAATCAAGTTTACATGTAAGAGTAATACGGGGCGGGCAAGAGGCTGACGTTAGCTCATCAAAATATCATCGATTTCATTGATTTTATTTATTTTTTGCATTTTTCATCCTAGGAAGCTCGAACTTTGCATATATAGGTTTTGTAGCATGCTGATTACGAAAATGATAGTCTCAAGTTTTGATACCACCTTCTAACATCAGTTTCTTGACTTTTACGAAAATTCTACCGTGCTGCTACCGTAGTCTCACCATGAGAATGTAGTGAACAAAGTGGACACTATAATCGTGATCAGCACGTGAAACAACCCCAATACACAAATTTTCATGAAAATCCATGATGTTGGGTTCGTACAGAATGACTACCGCAACCTTACCGTATAACGCCAAAAGCTGAAATAAATCATATTCTGGTAATCAGCGCGTTCGATAACCCTTGTGGGGGAATTCTCGGAGACATGTTCTGAATTCCTTCCAAAAAGACTAACATTTCGGACAATACGACCCACGGGTGGGTCGTAAGTTGGCAGAGCAAAAAAGGCTCCTGTCCGAAATGGCAGTAATCGAAAAATCGGCTTTGTCGTCAATGTGTTAATGTAATGTAAAAGTCTGTGAAAGCTTTCAGAAAACCATGAAAACTAATAACGGCAGCATAAGTAGCTCGTCGTTGCCTGCAAAAAGAATATGGCCTATTTTTTGCAAAGTTTTTTCCACTTATGATGCTGACCCTTACGACCTTGGTCAGCCTTAGGCTTCTTACCCAGATATTTCCGAATCAATCAAGCATTTTCATAATTCTTGAGTTTTTTTTTTGAAAACATCTTAATTCAGAATGTTGATATTCCTCTTAGTCTATTCGAAAATTCAGGATAAAGTTGAAACCAGCGATTCTGACCTGTCTGCACTTTACTCAGATATCACGAATTCCTAAGTTCAAGAGATTTTTGATATGAGGCCGGCTTTAGTCTCAGATGATTTATATTCATGAACTCCGAGGCGTTTTGAAGTTTTTACAGAGAATAGAGATTCCATTCTTTCCGCTCCTCAGTCATTCTCCAACGATTTTCGGAACTTAGAGAAATTTACCATTTTTGAAGTGTGCTATACTTTTAGCGGATAGAATTTTGTAGGTTTTGTAAGGCATTCACATTCTATTTCTCAGCACTTTTCAAAAATCGCTGAATTTCCTGCTAATCATTAGTGGCGAGAGTCCAGTGTTATGATTTACCAGAAATCATGAGAAAAATACCGATATCCGGTAACGGGACGGCACTCAATGCCGGGTTATGAATAGAGCGCGATACCTATCAGTCTCGACAGCGCCAGTTTCCCAAATTTGCCTGAAGCTTGGCTCAGAAGGAAAGGGGTAGTCGATTCGCCCATGTCAAACATGGGCGGATCGACTACCAAACATCATGCTTATTTCATACGTAACGCTATTTTTTGAGCGTTACGGTGGGCTACGGTAGAGAGCCAAAGCCATGAATTTGCACTAAACTTTGCGGGACATAACATCCTTTGATTTTTCATGATAGCGCCATTTTCTTGGGTTCGCTGTCACGGAAAATGGGTTGAAGTTCCAGATTTGCTCAAAACTTTGCCTAGAAGGGCTTAGCACGCGGATTACGAATACCTGCTTGCCAGCTGCAATAACGCCTTATAGTTTGAGTTGCGGTGATTTGAAGCGTATGAAATGACAACACGCTATTCGGCTATCCGAGCCCTGTAATTTCTGCCATGCGTTTGAATCAAACCTTGTCCAGGGGGTTATCTGACAATTCTGATTATGAACATAACATTTTTTTCGGCACGAAAGCGCCTTCGCGTGTGGTTACGCTAGGTATACTGTAAGGCTGGAATTAGATTTGGCTGAGATTTGGACTAAAGGCGTTATCGACATGCTTACCACAAGAATCATACTCTTTTTGTGGCTTTTTGAGTAGTTATACGATAGATATGCAGTATGGGGTCGAAACCGCGGATTCCCTTTTCGCCTAAGACTGTTATCTCGCACGCTGAACATGAATAATACATTGGTTTCTTGAGAGTGCCATTTTCTTCTTGCAACTAAACAAGCCCTTTTCTGTTTTTCAAGCCATAGACCTCAAAAACTTAAGAAAGGTCTCAGCATGCAAAATGACTGTGATATTCGAGTCAGCGTACTGGTATACGCCTCTAACGACGTTTTGACTCTTGTTTGGGCCATCTGCTTTGTACCCACCGTAACCCGAGAAAATCGCGCTTGCTTGCGAGTTTAGTGTGATATCATGTTCATCGTGCCAAGCAACCCATCTAGGCAAAGTGTGGAGCAAGTCCGTGATCTTAAAGGCACCGTCCACCCTAAGTTGAGGGTGTTGAGCTTTTGGCAGCATATGATAGTAGGGCCCCCTATCAATCCAATGCCTAGGTCGCGGCGCAAAATGCCGCTTCGGAAGCGAGAAAATCGCTTCGGTATAGCGGAGATGCACGAGGACCCCCATCCATGCCCGCCCCTCCCCATCCATGCCCGCCCATTTGTGCGCGCTCATCCAATCACCGTTCCGGGAAGCCGGCCTGTGGGTTCTCCGGAACGGGGAATGTCGGGGTTTTCGCCCATTCTCGACTTCATAATCGGAATCACTCAGACACTCGGTGCGTGCAGCGCGCGCGCAATTGAAGGGTGGCGCGACACCCAGTCTGCGGATGGCGCGCTATTGACTCCCGCGCCGCTGCATGATCGTCCGCGGATGGCTGCGATTTTAAGCGAGCGAGCGGCTGCGATTTCTCGCACGCGGATGGCTGCTATTTTGGACGCGAATGGTCAGCATTTTCGCAGCTTCGTTTTAATCATTGACCCGCGCGCCAAATTTGAACGGCTAAACTTCCAGCGGACTAAACCTTTTAAAACTTTATTTCTGCAGAAAAATGACTGGACATCTTCAACAAACCTTTATTAGTTATGTAATTAAAGCTTTTAAAGACACTAAATGATGAGAATGTGGATCAAATAGTGTACAATCAAATACATATGTAACGTAATGCATCATGTACATGCAATAAACATATATAAGTCAAAAATATTGCTATCACGGAACTTCACTCATCAGCAATGAATAGATCGTCGTCGTCTCCTTTTACTGCCCCATCGTCGATCATTTCGTCCGCGACTTTCTTCGACTGGCGCTGCAATGAATCTATGAAATACTAATCAAACAGCAAACAATTTTACCTTATGCGGTATCCATTTCGACTCGCTTTCCTTGTACGTATAGGACCTAATATCCCGTCTGAAATTGATATATTAGCAACTGAGGCTGCGTTATAACCTGTAAGAATTGACTACGCACAGTGCGAATTGCAGGGCCTTGAAGAGCTGTGGACGCCACCGCATTTTCTCACGCGAAGCTTGATCAAAATTTTGCTTTCTTTCGGCTTCGTCTGTGCCAAGACTAGCATAAAATCTGCAATGAATAAAACTTGATGGAAAGACAATATAGACGAAATGATACGCTACTTACTCCGATTTTTCAAAATCCGCAACCGCGCCTGGTAGCAATTCGTCGTACCCGTATCCCATCATATCGTCAGCAAAATCTGAACAAAAAAAAGTAGAAGACTTCCTTATCCGAAAAAGCGCATACCGATCAAGGTGGTTTCAATCTCATCGGGGAGGTTTTTGAGTTTGGCGTAACTGCCGCTTCTTCCGTTCAGCCTCAGCGAACAGCGAATATTCTTGAATTCGCTGAGGGGGGCTGGTGATCTAAAAAAAATATATATATATATATTGCGTTTCATATAACCATATAACAATTACGACAGTTACCTGCTGTAAAAGGAAACGATACAGAGATGTGAGGCTCTGTGGTGTTGTCCTTTCTTCTCGGATTCCACTTCCCCATCACGAGGTTCATAATATCCAACTAGCAAAAAGTCAGATAGTAGCAGAACAACGAGCTATTGGAGATATACCTTCACGAAAGGAGGGTTGGCGGAGATTTTCCAGGGCTTCTGACAGTTTCTCAAACATGCCTCGTTCAAGTTCTCCTCCAAACTTTCTAAAATTATATGGCATTACTTATGAAAATTGGCTTCACTTACGTCCGAAAGCCCTTTTTTTCAACATGATGTGGGGCTGGGAACTGCGTGCTGAATGGCATACCTCCACCTCCTCGCCTAGATAAAGCACTGACTAGTAAGGGATTGTTTATAAGTTCTTAATTGACCTGGCCTACCTTCAAATGTTTGGTGCCAATACGCCTCGAGCCGAATACGATAATTTTAACAGGCCTCAACCTACATTGCTAGAGGCATATACACATTTGAAGTGGTAAATGACAGCATTGCAAATTTGCATGCTGATGTGAAGGCATTTGTATGATAAGAACGACTTCGTCCGTTTCGTTCCTACCCTTAGACGGACAAATGCAAAATAGAATAAGCCTCGTCAGTAAGGAAGAAAGGCTAATAATAATGACAATCAAATAAAGTAATTTCACAAAAAATACATCAAATCAAGAAAGAAAATCAAAATGAAAGTCTTAGATACAAATAAAGACAAATACTCGTAAAAAATAACAGTAAAACTTCAAAAAACAGGGGCAGGGGACGAGGTTATTTTCAAAAAAGCAACTCGGCGTCCTTTTGGGCACGCGCACCGCTGCGCTAAAAGCTAAATCGCGCTCGCGCTGCTGCATAACAACGGAAAAGCACGCGCGCCGCGTATTCTTACATAAAAAGGCACGCGTGTCGCAGATAATTCTGCATTCGCGTCAAGTATGGCGCGCGTGCGTCTAGTATGGCGCGCGTTTGGCGCCGTGCCGGACACGCCCCCAAAATATGGCACGCGCTTTGCCGGCTTGAGCATAAAGGCGCGCGCGCTGCACGCACCGAGTGTCTGAGCAGGGACATGAGAAGGCCCTGAAACAACAAAAACGTGGAAGTCGAAAATCTGGGTAGACGGTGCCTTTAATCTCCCCGCTCGTAAGTCTGCCGTAACCACACGGATATGTTTCTGTGTAAAGAAAGAGAAGATATGCGCTCAGCATGTCAGATAACTTCCTTACCAAGTTCGCAAAAATTCATGTAAAGGCCATCATGCGAAATGCAATATTCTTGATCAACGAGTCAGGTAACCACCCTTTACAGTTTTCAAGACAGGTCCGATTGTGGAATAACCCTTTTAAACTGAATTTCGGGTGAATCCAAGATTATTATTCCTTGATATTCGTATCAGCAGGTCAAATGACCCAGCAAATTTCCAGCGAAATGCGCGACTTTGACTCACGCCGTATACCTGCCGTATCCCCCAGAATGGCGCTACCGTGCAAAATCAATATGGTATTCGGCACCAGCGGTTCGAATTACCTTCCTGGACCGATGGCGAGCAAATCCACGACTTTTAAATGTTGGGGCCCAGATATTGAAAAAGCGACTTCAAGGATGAACAGAACTAGATCGCAGTCAAAACACGTAGGACTGCGACACTCACTTTAATCTAAAATGAGAAAACCCCCTTGGACCAAGTTTAGTAACCCATGGCCAAATTTCAGGACCCGTATAGCCGAATAGCTCATATCTTTTCATACACTGCAACATATCACCTCTACCGCACTATAAGGTGTTATTGCAGCCAGCGTATTCGTCATGCTTCAAAACCTTCTCGGCAAAGTTGTGAGTAATTTTGGAGCTTCGACGCACCCAGCATACACAACGTAACCCAAGAACATGGCTATATCTTGAAAAAACGATATGATATCCATGTTCATCGGACTAAATACCCCTCCCCCCTAGGCAAAGCTTAAAGCAATTTCATGGTTTTGACTCCCTATCGTATGCCCTCGTAATGCTCAAAAAATGGCGTTACGTATGAAACACGTATAATGCTCGACAAAGGCTGATCGACTAACCCTTTCCTTCTGAGCCAAGTTTAAGGCAAATTTGAGAAGCTGGAGCCGTCTTGGACTGATAGATATCGCGCTTAGTTCAAAATCCGCCAATTGTAGTGCCGCCCCGTTACCGATATCAAAATTATCTAGGTTGTTTCTTAAACTTCGAATGAGTTGAACTTTTGTACCGAGCAATTTCATAGTTTTACAGTAGTTTAGCTCTCAATAAAATCTTTGTTATACTCCAGGAACTTTTGGCCTCTTGGTAATAAAAATACTATGAATGGATCACCCATTAATCAGGATAAGTAATCGGGATGACCACTACTATCCAAAGAATCATAAAACCCGAACATGGTTTCGGAATCAAAAATCAGACTGCAACTTCAATTTGAACCTCACCTTCATTTGCCATCATATTGATAAGATTTTGTTACTAATAAAGTGAAGTCACTTTGGCTATGGTCAGAGCAGCCTGGTTTATAGGACACTATGAAGGATCAAAAAAAGCCTGGAAAAAATCTGAGATTCTACGGAATTTGGGCACATATATTCAAATAGCTTGGGAGTCCCTCATTTCGAATACCAGCTTCAAAACTTGATAGGGAAATGAAGAAAGTTACACCAATTTGGCTTTTCCGACGCGAAATGGATTTTGCTTTGTCGCCTGTATCGTTCAATTTGGAAAAAGTACCAAGACAGAGGCTTCTGCTCAGTTTGAGCAGACTCATAAGTAGCTAAAAAGACGCTGTTTTCAAATATTCGATCAAAATTTCAGTCGAAGGATTCATTGCGTTATTGTTACCGACTTATTGCGTTCGCCGCTGGCATGGAGACAAAAAAAGCTTAAAAGCGAAATTTTGAAGTTTCCAAAAGCACTTTCAGGAAGCGCTGGGTGTCCCAAATGTCCAAACCAGAATAATTCTGTCGCTTCAAGCTGAAGGAAGCTATGGAGGTGCGGCAATACCAGCGCGGCAGTGCATTTATACCGCCGATTTCAAGAAAAAGCTTATTCAGAACAGAGATCTTCGAACTTTTACAAACTCTTTCATATTGAAGTTCAATTGGTTGAACTTCAAGGAAGTTATCGCAAGGCGGCACTTCCGTCAATAACCCGTTCGTACCGTAGGATTTCAGTTTGGCAGTGATGGTCTTCATGCAAGTCAAATTTGGAAAGTTCATGATCCTCTGAAAATTTGGAAAACCATGGAAACTCATTCTTTCGAACGGTTCGCGGGAAAGTCTGATTTTTATAGGGAGAAAATTAAGCATTCAGTCAATTTTGGTTCATAGGGAGGGGAGAGGGCAGGGTAAAATTTGACTCCGCAGGGCAAGGCCTTACTTGAGATGTTCATGTCTCTTTTTATTTCTAAAAATTTTTAGAAACTCGCTTTTGAAAGTGTAGAAAACTCAATTTCTTCAGCGAAAAATGAGCATTCAATTTCGGTCTTGAGTGGAGGTGAAGTCTGGCGTTCTGTGCAGTAGAGCCTTACATGTTTCAGATTCACCTGCGTCTCGCGCACAATTTCCAAAATTCATAATGACTTGCTTTCGAAAGTAAATGTGCCATAAATTAAAATCCATTGAAAAAGTAGCGTCCAAGCAGGATTTCGAAAGATTGAAAGTTTGAAGCACTGCAGAGCATTACCTTTTCAGTGATTTTTTAGAGCAGACTGTGGAATATTTGCGATAGTAGGGTTCATCTTTTAGGTTTACTTCCTTTCAACTTGTGATATTCTACTGATTGGTATTATATTTAGGCTTTGCTGCAACAGCCTTGTCTTCGACAAGACGCGAAGACAAGGCTGACTGCGCGAAGAAGAGTTCCATTTCTGAACTGTTTCTGAAGCAATCAGTGAATTAGCGTAGATTTTTGCCGTTTTAAATATGCTTTCCTCAATGTATCTGCCCCAGGGCTAGCACAGCTGGCACCGGGTCAAGCTGGATATCGTTTTTAGGGCGGAAAGCAAAGGGGATATCGTTTCTACAGGGGCCGAGGCAGGAGAACTGCAGCAAAAATGCCGCCGGCATGCCACCGGCATGCCACTGGCAGGCTGTCCATCAACAAACAAAGGCGTTGTTTTCAGCCAAAACGCAATAGTATGACACCAAATTTGGTGTGTGCATGCGCGTTGGTGGACCGGAACTATGGGCCAAAAATTTATGAAAACTTATGTGAATGAAAGCTGTGCCCAACTTTTTTCTGAATTAGCTGGCACCGTGCCAGCTGGGTGCCAGCTGAGCTGGCACCGACACTTTGCTCACATAAGTTTTCATACTTTTTTACATAAAATGTATCTACACTGTAAAAGATTACATACGGAGAAGAAACAGTTTCATAATGTTCTCTTTTCAGCGTTTTATAGCAATTTGAAAACCACTCGGCCCGCTCCGCAGTCGAAAAATCGGCTTTTTCTGCTTCTCAAGATGTGATTCGACCACTTAAAAAGCTCAAAAAGCTGTGATTCAAAACAGGTCAAAAGGGACTTCGTACGAAATTTTCAATATCAAACGGGACTTCGTTTTGAAATTTCCCTGGTGCCAGCTCGTGCCGAGCCCTGATCTGCCCTCACCCACTTGCTAGCGACCCGTAGGGTCGCTAGTCTTATATATAAAGCTGAATGTCTGTTTGTAGGTATGTATATGTCTGTCTGTATGTACCAGTGGCGTACCGAGGGGGGGGGAGGGGTGCGCCCCCCCCCCCCCGAGAATGGGTCGCGAAATTTTTGAAAGTTACTTACATGAGTTATAAAAGTGTGCAAAAGACTTATTTATACTTGTAAACAATTAAAATGACTTTTAAAAATTTTTTAAAATTCAATTTAGCTTTATAAAAAATTTTTTTCGGGGGCGTGGCTGACGCCACGCCTCCTTTTTCTGGATTTTAGGGGTTAGGGACCCGCAAAAGTTTTGAGAAGCATCCCAAAATTTTTTTCGGAGAGCGTGGCTGACGCCGCACCTTCATCAGAAATTTTTTTTTGTTGTGCCCCCCCCCCGAGCCGAAATCCTGGGTACGTGGTATGTGCGTATGTTCCGAATAGAAAAATCCATTTCTGAACCGATCGAGACCAAACTTTGCACATATACACTTCGGGGCGGAGCGGGTGTCATAGGCTACTTTTCGTTATCGATCGATATCATATGGATTTTTTGCAAAATTCAAGCTACGTTTTGGGAGTTGGCACAGGGGGATAATCGAGCATGCTGATTACAAATATATTATTGACAGGGCCGGGCGGAGCCGGGTTTGCCAGCTTGCGCCAAATATCACA